TAAAACTAATATACTACTGTTGTAAATTACAAATTCACTGTAAAATAAATATTTATATTTAATAATTCATATTTAATAATATCTATAATAATTTTATTTTACACTTATTTAAATTACAATAACTTTTCTGAAAATTAATTTAATTAAATGAGACCAGACCTGTGCCATTTGACGTTTACAGTGAATTTTCCTTGAATGTAGCTCTCGTTGATCCTGTCATTGCTGTCACTGCTCAAGTTGGTGCCCTTGTGCCCAAAGAGTTGCCTTTGTTTCTTAAATAAAGTGAAGACGTTAGTGCTAAAAGAGTTTCTGGAGCTATGCTGAAGTTTTTTGTGGTTGTCACTGTTCTGAAGAGTAGCAGCTCTATGCAAAGCATACTGGGAACTAGAAATTGACTGACCAGTTTAATGCAACAGATCATTGCAGTCCCAACACAAAAAGATAAAGGCAACTTTCATTTTACACATGTATGTGGATTTAAACCAAGTGCAAGTGCAAATGAAAATGAAACAAAATATTCAAGAATTGTGTTATTTTAACTCACTATAACTGAGAAAGCAGCAGACATATATTTTTTTGTTTGATTGACCTGATTCAAAACACCAATTAAAAATGTTTAGACTCACCTAACATTGCCTTTTCCTCATCTCCTTGGACACCGACTTGTCCATGGTGCCCTTGTAATCCATCACTCTAAAAAATGCTGGGTTAAAATCAATTATTTCTGGGTTATTTGGCAATCCAGCGCTGGGTAAATATTGGACAGAACACATGCTGGGTTTTTTTTTTACCCAACATGCTGGGTTGTTGTAAACTATTGTTTAAAAATGATTATATTGCTGGCTTAAAATGGGCTGTAAATTAAAAACCGCTCACACAATTACTAGAGGCAACAGCAATAATCAACGATGAACATTTATTATTAAGTAATAACACCCATGGAGAAAATACAAGACAAATTTAATTTATTTGGGTGAATACAGCATAGTTTACAATATTACATTTAAATTTGTTTAACAAGCATTTTAGAAATAAAAAAAATTAAAATGAGAATTTAAAACTTAACCCTTATAGGCATGTGTCTAATCCCTGCTGGAAAAATGGTCTGAGATGGTTGGTCTTCCATGCTGGTCTGTTGATTGGTTTTAAATTATACATTTTATCCTGGTAAGATTGGGAGACCAGCTTCCTGCCAGTGGAACACCAGCTTGGTCAAACTTAAACCAGCTAAAATCAATAAATTATCTTTGGATTATGTATTTTTAACAGGTACAATAATGTTCAAAATGTTGTCTACTAAGATTTTTTGTTTCCACAAAAATATTAAAAAGCACAACTGTTTTCAAAATTATTATTACGTAGTGTTTTTTGAGCACCAAATCAGCATACTACAATGATTTCTAAAGGATCATGTGGCACTGAAGACTGCAGTAATGGGTGCTGAAATCCATCTTTGCCATTGCAGGAATACATTACAATTTAAATTACACACATAAATCTAAACGCTGCACATACTAGGTTTCCATCTAAAGCAGCAAATTCAACTCATAAATAGATAATATCTCATAAAACATTTGAAAATAAAGCACCATTTCAATCTAGCAAGATGAAGAAAACTCAATTTTAACTTCCCGATTAACTGGCGCCAAATATCACTAAGATAAAGGTAATTTGCTGCAGTAGGAGAAGCCACAGTTGGTCTTTTTTTCATATATAATAAATTACTTGCGCCTCAGCATGCCCAGACAAACTGCAATATACACGGTCATGTTATCTTGCTTTGGAACGCAGTCGTATACCGAACCACTTTAATGAACATTTCAGAATGACCATGCAATGAGATCAGTCCACTGGTTAGGCCAGTTATGGCGTCCCATTGTGCAAAATCACTTGCCTTTTTTGATGTGCATCAAGATTTTTTTTTTTTTGGTAATTTTGTTTTTTTTAATCATATGTGCATGTTTTCTCATCAAGAAGTGTCTCATTTGAGCGCATACGTTTTTAAACGTGCATTTTTAGAATTTATGTGTGTTTTATGCAGTAAGCACTAGTATTCCCTTCCAAACATAGCTGACAAATTTGTATATGAGTATTGGTTTTATGGCCAGACACAGGAAAAGGGCACTGATTGTTCTGTGTGGTACTACCTGCAGTGAGTTGTGTGGCTTTGTGATTATATGAGCACTAATTCTGAGTATGGGACACCATATTTGGCTACATGTCACTTTTAAGCTAAAAAGATTTAAGCTAAAAACGCTGTAATGTGTTATTCATACATGCATTGTCACATACATATACATATGATATGATACATACCTTAAATGTCCTATGAAGAAGCCATATTTTTTGGCTTAACAATTTAACAAAAAGAAAAAATAAATAAATTTACTTGAGAACAACTGTTAATTTATCAAACTGAAAACTCTGCATTTGACATATATAAGAAGAGGAAGAAGATGAAGAAACTCCATCGTTGCATTTTTATTATATTTAAATGGTATGATAAAGTAGAAGATGGTTGTGTACTGTAAAAATAAATAAATACATTTCTTAGACCATTGCACAAATATAATGCCAGTTGCGGAATCCATCTTGCAGTCAGATGTCATGAGGATTTCAGAGCAGCGCTGTCAAACTGACTTCCAACTGTCATAATGGTTAGGCCATGTCCAATCAGGCTTCTGCACTGGGGAGTTCTCCCCTGGATCTCCAATAAATAGCCCTCCATTTCATGGCAGCTCTACCTTCATCTTGCGCTTCAGCACTGTATGATTGCGAAGCCTAAGCTTTTACCTCGCCTTTGGATGTTTAGTCGTCTCTGTAGTTTTTCACATCCTGCTGTCTCATGGGCACCTTCTCCTTCACTTGATAAAAGACTTTTTGATGTGCTCTTACACGCTTTCTTTTACTAAAGTTATGATTCTTTGGCCTTAATGTCTGCTGAACTGACAAAAAAAGAGAGTTCTATGATTTTTCTCAATCCTTAGATCTCTTTTTGTTGATTTGCTTGAAGTTAGCAGTGACCAGGCTACCTCATTTAAACACTCCCTCCAACAAACAAGCCGAGATGTTTGACTCATTTGATAGAGTGAAGCAAATTCCTTTCCACTCCGCCATTCCGTCCCTTTCTGTCTGATTTGGATGAAATGCAGATATGTGCAATGTTCTTGAGGGCTGTGTTCCTCAGCAATTGTTATATATGTGTTTGATGGCTGACGGTAATCGTCCGACGTTTCCCTTACTTATTTCTACTCCGAACTCAAGCAGTTATAAGAGAATTGGTAATGCAGGAAACTTACCTCAGAAATACAGGCCTGCTAAAGGGCAAGCTTCAACTGTATTCAGCCTAATCAGGTTTTAGCTGTCAAAAATGACAAATATTCCCTTGTCCCAAGAAAACTTCTTATAACTTTGCACTGCTATGCAGTGTGAGTCCTGAATGAACATTGAAATTAAGTTTTATTCCGCATAGGGTATATTTAATCGAATCGAATATGGGGTGCCCATAAATTCCAACCAACATGACAGTAATGAAATGTTGCAAATGCCTATGGTTAAACTTTCTTCCTCCTGTCTTTATTAAGATGGAATTTGTGTTCTTCTGCACTGTTTACATATGCTAGACCAATATGTATTTTTGGATTTTTGCTCTTTCATAAAATTGTAAAATCTGATTTCCTCAGAATGAAATGATGAGAATGAGTAATTGATAGTTGGGGAATATGCTCAGAAGGGAAATAAAGAAAATATGTTCCAGAAAACATCACAATTTGTATTCTCTGCAAGATGTCTGTTTCAGCGTAAAATCACTTTAGACTATTAAATTAGGTGTATCACATTTTCAGTTTACTGGCAAATTTCCTACTAGTTTCTTTCCACGTTTCAAAACGTTTGTACAATTTTAAATATTGCATTTATCCAGACTTTAAACCCAGGAGTCATTGTTTGTTAATGTGCTAGTAGTCTTCAGGGTTTTTGTAGTAGCTGAGAAACAAAATTGCCTGACATGTTATGGTAATTCTGCTATTTGCTTTCTAGCAAAACGCAGCCCTGGCATAAATATCTGGCATTACCAAAAGCTGATTGCATGTCTGTCAAATTGGCAATGAAATATCCATCCCCTGTATGCAACAATTTATTTATTTTGTTGCAGGCAATTTTGATTACATGGTTAGGGTAATCACAATATTATGCTTTATAAAAATCTTGCTGATTTTCTAAGATGAGTTGCAGTCTAATTTCCAATGTCAGTCACCCAACTCCCTGTTTTCTACAAACACTCAGATCTGCATGCTTTCACCTCGGAGCTATATTGATATATGCAATAAATTTGAGGCTAGCAAGCAAGATGTGCTTGAAAACTCATAAGCTGTTGCTCCTAATTTTGGAATCCAGAACTCTGTGTACTGGGGTTTATAGGAATTTACGGTATCGATGAGGCAATGATGATTTATTGTATGAGTGCTGCCAGCTGAGAGAATTATTATCCTTTAATTCTCGCCTGGAAATGAAATTCACCCCTTCTCCTTCTTGCAAGCACCTAAAACAGTTCCACCAACCCTGCCCTACCATTAGACTCAGTCTGGCAGAGCACTGATTAAAATTGATTTAAGTTTTGAGTATATTTGGAATTGATGATACAAATATCTACAGGAATTATGGGCTGTCGTCTGAGGGCAAGCGCAGTCATCCGTTTTCTTTGTGTCAGAGATATGGAGCCTACTGCGGAATTCACATACGGACAATAGCGTCAAACACTCTTGCTTCCGGAAACTATAAAACATATTTTGTACCTCAGCATCTTTTCAATGCTCTGACAGGAGTATGAGGATTGCAAAAAGAGCCTCTAATAGTCTAAGCTGGTTCATAATGAGGACTAAAATGTGCTCAAAAGGAGGACTATTTTTTTATCAGATAGCCCTTGCAGAGGCAATAAATAATTTGTTGTTTGTATGGCCGGAAAGAACTGACCATTGTTTTTTTTCTTGTTGTCTATCCAGGTCCCTGCTTGTGATTTACCATGGCCAAAGTGCTCTGCTGCCTCCTTCTCCTGGGAAGCGCAGTCATGATGACCACAGCCTGCCCTAAATATTGTGTTTGTCAGAACCTATCAGAGTCCTTGGGCACACTGTGCCCATCCAAAGGTCTGCTGTTCGTGCCCTCTGACATTGATAGAAGAACCGTGGAGTTACGCCTGGGAGGAAACTACATTATCAAAATTACCCAGCAGGACTTCACCAACATGACGGGCCTTGTGGACCTCACACTGTCACGAAACACCATCAGCTTCATCCAGCCCTTCTCCTTTGTGGATCTTGAAACCTTGCGTTCGCTGCACCTGGACAGTAACCGGTTGACAGAGCTGGGCCCAGATGTCCTGCGAGGCTTAGTGAACTTGCAACACCTCATCCTAAACAACAA